ATGATGACATATCTACAAGTACAAAAAGGAGGTATTGAAAAATTTACAGATGGGAAAAAAAAGAAAGAAACAAAAACGAAAGCAAAGACAAAAAAATATCGGACATTCCAGGTAAACGTGGCATTATTTCAGAAAACTGTCGGGTTATTCGATGTCACTTATGACGATGACACCGTCTTCTCGGGCAGGTGAGAGGTTTTCTTCCTGACCTCTACAGGGGTCACCGCCGTCGTCACCCTCAGAGCCGTCCGACACTAATCCGTCACCGACGACACGCGGGCCCGACACTGTCGTGTCACTGACAACTGCCACACCACTGACAGGGTCACCAGCAGCTTCTCCGACTTTCCTACCCAGAGACGACGCGGCTTCTGCGTCAGTTTCCCGTCGGCTGCCGACACAGGACAACTTGTCAGTGTGGACCACACTCCACGTCGAGCCACACACAGAGGGGATCTCAGTTTTCTGTGACAGGGGGGTGGTGTTGCTGGTGGAAGCAGCCATGGCGATGGTGTTGATGGTTGTTGCAGCTGCGGTGGTGTTGATGGTTGTTGCAGCTGCGGTGGTGTTGATGGTTGTTGCAGCTGCGGTGGTGTTGATGGTCGCAGCCATGTTGCTGGTGGTTGCAGCGGTGGTTGTGTTGATGGTGGAAGCAGCAGTGGTAGTGTTGCTGGTGATGGTGTTGGTGGTAGCAGGGGTAGTGGTGTTGCTGGTGGTCGCAGCCGAAGCAGTATTGATGGTGGTAGTGGTAGCAGCGGTGGTGGTGTTGATGGTGGTCGCGACCGTTGCGGTGTTGATGTTGGTGTTAATGAAGGTTGGATTGGTGTTGCTGGTGGTGGTGGAGTTGTCAAAAGTGGTGGAGATGGAGCAGGGGTTGATGGTGGTGGTGGTGGTGTTGCTGATGTTAATGTTGGTAGTGGCAGCATTGGAGATGTTGAAGTTGCTGCTGTAGGTGTTGGTGGTGCTAATGGTTGTGGGATTCTTGCTGCTGAAGTTGTTGCAGCTGATGTCGGAGGAGGTGGTGGGGGTTGTGTCAGTGGTGGGAGGGGGGCGAGCAGGTTGTTGCTGCCCTCCAGAGCTCGGAGCCCCAAACTGCGACACGTCCATACTCTCCGCGCCAGACACACCACACACAGCGGAGAGCTCTTCTCCACCCGACACAGAACGACTTCCCGTCAAGTTCCAAGCCTCGTTTGACTGTCTCTCGACTTGCTGCGTCAGCGTTGTTGTCTCCACTGAGTCTGTTTCCATCTGAGAAGATTCGGCACTTCTGATTGGCTCTGTCCTGGCAGGCTTCTCCGACTGTGTTGTGCTGGACTGGACTGTAGAGAGAAGCAAAGACAGAGAACAGAGAAGTCAAACACTGTATTCTTTATTCTTATTTTAGTAAGAGTTTTACCGCACTTGCAACACAACAAGGTTGTAAAAGTGTCCAAGATTACAGGTGTTAAAAGCGAGTAAAAACACAAAAAAGAAGGAGGAGAGATCAGGACGGAGATGTTTGACAGGAAAGAAGAAGCAAACCGCATCAGAGCACCCGCCAACCGCCCATACACTGTATTCTGGGACAGTAGACAGAGACAGACACAGTATTAGTATCATGTTTTAGTTTAAATTTAGTAGAGGTTTTACGGCGCTCGCAACAGCATAAGGTCATGTGAGCGCCAGAAGATTAGAGGCTTGGAAAAGAGCACAAGATTCTTCCGTAGTTTCACATACCGGAGGGGAAATGGTTGGTCCTGGGTTTGTCCGTCGACGCCTGATTGGTCACTTTGGCGGCAGATTGCGAGGGGAAAGACGAACTCTGAAACAAAAGACAGACAGCGTTGACGCATCAGTAAACACACAACC